TAATTAAATAGTTATTATTGATATTTTGGTAAAGTAATAATTGTTAATAATATTTAATGAAAGAATAGTTTTTGTCAATATATAATATTTTTTATATAAGTAGACTTGTTCATAATATAAAATTTTTGTATAAATAGCTACCAAGATGTAATTTATCCACACTGAAATTGAAAAATTTATAAATATATTTTATAAATATTATGTTAAAATTTAACATAATATGGTATATGGCTATAAATTTATTTAATCAGAAATAATATTTTTATTCTATTAGAAAATGTTAGTCCAATGATTAAATAAAAATAAGGAGCCTATAACTAATACACTAAAATTTTTTAAGTGAGTTAAATTAAAAAATGAGTATTATAAATAATACCTTCATCTATTATTATTCTTTAAAGTTTTTGTATAAATTTATTATCTATATACTTAGTAACTTAACTATTATCTTGGTAGCTGAAAATTTGTTTTAAAAACTTAGTTTTAAATTTCATGAATAAATTATACTTTTAACATAGACTTTTTATGTCTTTAACAGTTACTATTTATATATAGTATTAAAAAAAAACTATTTAACAATTATTTTTGTTTATTTAATCAATAAGTAAGTCTAATTAAAGAAAAAAAACTATATTTACAAATTTTAATTATAACGAATTTGATATATTAAGCTAGAAAATGCCTTATTTTCAAATGATACAAATATTGCATAAATTATTCGTTATTAAATTAGGGTTTTGAAATATGAAGTTAATACTAGCTGTTCAATTTTATGCAAATATTTGTACACACAATTTTATTTCTTACTCATATAATATGTATAAATATATGCATTATTTAAGACGTGATTGGAAAAGGATTAACAAATACTTTAATATTATAATATTGTTTGTTAATTTGATATCAAGAACTGTCTTAATGCGGCAAAATATCCTAACTTCAATTGAATAAGTTATCTTATTAAATTGGTTTAATTGATTTGAAGCAGTTAATGCTTTTTTATAATGATATTTATTAAACTAAAAGCATATCACTGCATATACAAGAAATAGTACTACATTATACATATAATAATATCTGTATTTTTTGTATTTATAATTGAAAACAGTTTTAATATATAATGCTTCACTCCTTACAGTATATTTGATCATAAGATGATCGAAAGATTAATTACAAATTTCATATTTGTTCGATAAATGTATTTATTACAAAATCACCATAAAATAAGATTTTTCTTTCTTTCATCATTGATGAACATGATATTTATTAAATACTTATATAATAAATAAGCATAGGAAGCTAATTATCATGTGATATTGCATTGTAACATAATATAAAATAATATAATGTAGTGTTTTCAATTTTATTCATACCTATTCGTCCTTTATTATCTTAAATTAATAGGTATATTATAAGCAAATATTCATTACAAATATAAAATTTTTCTTTCATTAAAAAAGTATAATGTAAATGCATATGATAAATGGTATTATAAAAATGATACCTATTTATCGTTTTGAATTTGAAGAAAATTTATATTTTATTATATTTTTATACAAAAGTATAACAATTATTTAAACCAATATGATTTATATAGTGTTGAAAATAAATTGATTTGCTAAATACCAGTGTTTTTTAATGAAAATTCAAATATTTTATTAATAGATCAAAATTTTAGAATACAATTATCGAATAATAGTTCTACAAACTGAAATAAAAAATCTATTATCATTCAATTTTTTCTCGCTTATATATCATCAAATATACGAAAAAAAACAGGCGATATTGAAGAATCCATGTGATAAAAATTATATCAATTTTTTAATAAAATACATGTTGCATAACAAGATTAACAATTTGGAAAATTTGTGAATAATGCTTCAGTGAGAATGCATCTACTAATATTAATATTCTAAAAAAGATATTTAAAAGTATGTTGATTAAAAAAAACTAAGTCGAGGTTACATTTAAATTTATATTTGTATTGTTTTTTAACATTTTTACAGTATTTTTATTAAAAATTTTATTTTTTAAAAGAGTATTTTATTTATGGTAGGTAGGGTCAAGAACAACTAAAAAATATTTATTCAATTACTTTTATTTGAACATTCACATACTCATTTTGCCAGATTTTGACAGTATTATATTTATATTAATATAAAGAAAAATTATTTTGAAAAAAACCCAGCGATAAATTTCCGAAAGTCAAAAACCAAATGCACCGGTTTATCACTGGATTTGACAAAATTCTTCAGAAATAGAATAATATGACCCTGAATGAAGAGATGATACCGAATAAATGATTATAATTATCTGATGATAATAATGAACAAAACCTTTAAATTTGAAGAAAATATCGTTTGATCCCGTTTCCAATAGGTACTTTTAATAAAAGCGAAAATTATCAATTTCAAATGGGATGCGATAATCAACTTTTTTCGACTATATTTAATATTTCGAATTAATATATTATAATGCCTCTAGTCTATGTAACTATTACACAAGTTGGTTTTTGTACATATTTGCCGTTTAACAATTAAAATACTTAAATTTAAATTCACCATTTATATATATATATTTTTTAAATAAATCATAAAATTTTTAAGTGACATACTTTTCAATGAAAATTAATTTACGTATTTCTGATATTTTAAATAATTTTGTTGTCATTAACAACAATAAGTGAATATGCGGTGGTAACAAAAAATTCTTATATAAAAACTACATAATCAGTCGTTATATTATTGAATTTCGCACCCATTTAATAAACCCCTACGGCTATTTTCAAGCTATTATGGATTGCCTATTCTGTACCTATTTTTAGGCAAAGCTAAGGAAGTAATCTAAACCAATTATGAGAGCATTTAAATGCATACTGACAATTTTTAATTACCTTTTAAAAAAGATGAAGAAATAAAGAAACACTAATTTGCGCGATTACTTTATCGTCATTTTGATTATGAAGAAACCGAGCATTTTAGTGAAACTCATTCTCTAAAATAAGTATAATATTTCTAATGATCTTCCCTAAATATTTAAAAGAATCAATATTTGCAATGTTATTCTTTTATATATATATTCATAAATTTTTAATATTTAAATTAATTCGTTAACAATGCTGTAATAAAAATAGAATTTTGGAATTTTTTATCGTTAACAGGCTTGTTGAAATATATTTACTTATTTAATTGAAAAAAAAGCATCTGTTTAATAGTACGAAGAATCAAAATAGCATAAACAGAATAACATCACAGGATAAATTTATTGATGTAAATTTAATAATGTATTTTTGTAAATGAATTGATTTTACAAATTATTTCTCGTTTTAACCCATCATAATAACTATTTAAATAAACGCGTTTGACAATTTTTTGCCGACAGTGTCATTGTCGTTATACTTGTCAAATATCGCTGACAAGCTTGTTAAAAATTATTTATCAAATCACGAAATTTTAAACTACCCTGCAGAAAATAATGTTTAAATCTTATTGTTATTTTGTCTAATTATATTTATTATACTTCCAATTATTTTGTTATGAGTATAAAAGAATTTACGCAAGTAATTTAATCGCTAAATGAAATATAATCCTAAGAAAATGATTCTAAAACAACTATTATATCATTAAGTATAAATGAATACATACAATTTACTTATTAAATAATAAACTTTACTATATATATAATTTATTACACAATCAAACAAGAATGTTGTCTTTAAAAAAAAAGAAGTTAGAAATTAATTTATGAAAATATTTTTATACCAATTATCCAAGTTATCCAAACTGATATAATGATTTTTAATTAATCGAAATGACTTAAAAAGTAAAGTAAATAGTTTATTAAATTGCTGAATTCAATAGTCTGATAATTATCTGCAGATCAGTCTGAAATTTCATGGTTCGACTTTTTAATTTATTTTCATTAATTTTATGACTTATATGCTCCTTATGCCAAATTTATAGCTTGGTTTGCTTTCCGTCATACGGCATTTTTTATTCATAATTTTAAACGAGCCTGAGCTACCTTTATTGCTCTCAAACTCCCATCTCACTTAATAACACTGCCTTAAATGATAACCCTTAACACTAATCACAAAATCGTAGAAATTCTGTTCTGTAAAGAAATTGCTGAGATACTTGTTATAATGAGATATTAATTTAATTATTTGTATAACTATATATTTTTTCATTTATTTTTTTTTGTTTTTTTTTTTTGTTTGTTTAGTAGTTAAGCTTCAGCGTCGTTATTTTTCATTAATTAAAACGATATAACCAAGTGACGTAATTGTTGTATAGCAAAAAGATATTTAAATTTTGATACATTATAGAAGATAACATTATTTATAATTTACGAAATATCAAAACGACACTTTAAAAATTTATTTTAATTTATATGATTGCTGTGCACGTATACGGAGTTAGTTATGATAATATAATAAAACAGTGTATTTTTGCTCATTTAATCTAAAGTAAATTTATTTAAATTAGTATTGTAATCGAATCAAAGTTATAATAATAATTTCTTAGTAGCTTACTTACACGATTTATTTAAAACATTCATGAAGCATTCTTATACCATACTTGGTAAAATAATAGCAATAAATAACAAAATATGTTCCTACGATTTTGCAGCCAGTTAATTTCAATTATCATACGATTAGAGTTATCAGTACACTTGAAATCGAATAAGAGAGAGGGAGAGAGAGCCTGTTAGGAGCGCCCTCGTCCCATTTTCTAAGTGCAAACCGAGTCTCCAAACTCCTGCTTGTCATTATCCTCGTCATACTCCTCTCAACGACGCAACGTCAATGCCATTTGCTCACCATTTCTACATCATTACGCTACTTACTTGCGACGTCCCCTATGCTTTACGTCGCTTCTCGTACTCGCCTCGATCTCAGCACCTGGGGTGCCGAGGGAGACAATGAGAGATAGATTGGGTGTGAGAGCGAGAGATGTACCGGTAAACAGACAAAGAGACAGATATATATGTGGTTGTTGCTGTTATTTCATAGCGTGGCACGGCTACGTTGTGCACGAATCGTCTGCGCATCCGTCTTCACCCCGCCTTGTTTTTGGCTGCTGTTTTATTTATTTGTCAATCATCAAGCCTTTATTTTTGCTTCTGTTAAAGTTTTGCGATTGGGGTGAGATACTAGAGGGTGGGTGGGAGAGAGACACGCCGGAATTGTTGCTTGCTTGATTTGTTTTACATTTGTGCATGCGTCAAAGTAGTTCCAAGGGCGTCCACGGTGGGGCGCCTTTCGTCGTGGATCTCTCAAACCCAGGGCGTCCAACCCTCGTAGAGGAGGGCCAAGTTCTCGGTGCTCTGGGCCTCACGTATCACGTACTCGACTTGCTCCGTTGTCGTATATTTGCGATTCGGGTTTGGTTCGCGACCTTCAAGCTTCATGCGCACTCGACGCCAAACGTTCAGCGCGTAGACATTACGTTCTTGCATCGCTATAAAAGTTATTTTTGGATTTGTTTATAAATCATATGTTTAATAATATGAATTAATTAGAGATAAATACATTGTATGTGAATACTGTATCAAATTTAAATACAAGATTCCATCTTTCATATGCTAATTTAATATCTACCTTTGCCTGTTGTAGGATCTCGTGCAGGTGGAGCTCCTTTTCTAGGACTCTGACACACGCTTTCTTGCCTTATTAATTTAGCTTTGTTAAATACGAATTCTGATACATTTTGATCGTTTATTGACTCGTTCGCAAATGATAATAATTCATCGTACAATGCAGGTGTTTTGACAGCCAGTGTGTCCAATTCATTTTTCAATACTGACGCTTTAACAAGATCTAAGTTGTCTGATTCTAATTCCTTTACTGTAGCCGACAGACTTTCGGTGCACGATCGATAATTTAATAAAAATTCCTAAACAAAATTTAATTATTAATTTTAAAAAATATTATGTTAAATGTATTAGAAAAAATTAAGAATACAAAGAAGATAAAAAAAATATTTCATTAAGACGATGAAAAAGAAAAATACTAGTTTTTACTGAAAAAAAATTAAGTAAATTAAGAAACGTTGCTCACTTGAAGGCCAATGATGTTCTCTTGCTTCGCCATGCTTCTCAGTAGTACTCTGACGTCATTCATGAGTCGATGATGTTCTGCGATGATGGCCTGCAGGATGCTGACCTGCTCCCTTAGAGCCTGTTGCGCAACCGCTAGACCCTCCTGATGTTCCTGTGTCTTCTTCTGCGCCTCGACAATTGCCTCGGATATAAGCTTCTCCATCTGCCTGAGCCAACTCGAGTCAATACTATTGTCTGGACCGATCTGCATTAGCTCGACAAGACTTTCCTCTATCGGCGACACGCTTATCGTCAGGTTTGCTGTGAGCATGCAACTCTCCTCCCAGCGTTTCACTAATTTGGTAAAAATCCAGAATATGCGAGATTAGTACTTTTCGAATTATTTATAACACACGCATTTACTTTGTTACGTATATTGTGTAAAAATCTAAGAGCTTCTATATCGAGCAAAATCAATAGTTAATAAATGACAATTTCATTCAATTTTTTTATATGGTTTTTCACATAAATATTTGCGAATATATTATTAACATATTAAATCAAATAACATTCTCTTTGTTTTTTATAAATAAGAAATAATACATTTTTATAAATTTCTATCTAATAATCCATTACAACTCTATTATCAAGTCACTTGATAATAAACTTGACACAATTCCGTCTTTAAATTCAATTAAACTTGTAAAAACATAAATTCATTACACACTGTTTAAATTGATTCAACTATATATTAATTATAGTATAATGGCTTCGCAACGACGATCTCTAGTATACAAATCAACAACTATTCAATCCGCAACCTCTTTAAGCAGCGCAAATCTCAAATATTAAAAGGAAAACCTCGTCACGCTCACCAAGTTTAATAAAATTCGCGTCGTTGGTTATACTCTCTTGGGTCCTTGTGCGCAATGCCTCATAATGCATTATGGAATTGCAGGCGTTAACAACGAGGGCCGAGAGTCCAGCCTGCCTCGTTAGTCTCTCCGAGCTCGTAAGGACGGCGTTATCAAAGGCAGTCATTACTTCACCAAGTGCCGGATTCGCACCTGCGGCCCACTTTAAGCGCTGCACAGCACTCGTAACGAGACTCTGCTGTTGTTCACGCGCTTCGTTTACGCGTACCTGGAGGTTCGAGAGTCCAGCAGCCGTCTTACGCAGTTCGAGCATGAACGAGGATCGATCTGTAGGAACGGTTTTTTTCCTTAATTAATGTGCAAATGAATGGATGTGGCTGTATTTTATAAGCCATTCGTACTGTTCATAATGGTAGCTCTTATTTGATTCATATTCATTTATGTGGTAATCGATATTTCTTGCAACTAAGTAAATCAACAGTCCTACTTTTTTATTTCCCTACGTTTCGAAAAAATAGCGCATATACCATTTGACTTATACATATTAATAGATGAGGTTTAAAGATATCGTATATCGAAGTTATGTATTTAAAATTACCTGAATATTGATATAAAAAAAAATGCATGGCATAATATATAAACAAAAGTCAAATGATTCGCTTAATATCAAAATTGCAAAATTAATGCAAAATATTGTGTTTGTTAAAAATATCCACAAATGTACTGCACCATAATAGTACAGTATTTTATAGTATCTTTATGGTACACTATTTAAAGTATATACAATTTAATAAAATCATTAATTGCAATCATTTAATAAATACTTGAACTTATAAAAACTGTCTATAACAAGTAGTCCTCTTAAATATATATTTAATCTACTCACTCAATGGATTGATAAAATTAATGTTCGATCCAATAAGCAAGTAATCTTCGTACAGCCAATAATGTGCTGTTAACTGCAATTGCAGTCTTTGAACAGTGGCACGAGCAACTTCCACAGCCTGTTGCGCAGACTTTGCACTTTGTTTTCTTCTCCAGGTATTTTCTAGATTTCCGCTAAGGGCACTTGCTTGTGCCAACTCCGAGCTACTAAAGTAACCCTTCTTTAAGCCCATATCCACCAATTTTCTACAGAGCTCCTCCAACGATACCTTAGAAAAAGAAAAATACATTCATATTGAATGCAAAAATTTGCAGACACTTAAATACGAAAAACTCTACAAGATAATACAGATTATAAAAAGAGAAAAGTATCGGTTTCAAATAATTATGAATAAAAATAGACAATAACAGAATATCAATACATACAATTCTATTGTTGTACATAGTAAAAAAAAGATCAATACTATTATAAAATAAATGTGTAAATAAAAATGAAGATATACTTTGCTCTCAGCACCAATGTCCCGCTGCTCGATTTCAGTTGATACGCTAAGTCCCATACGTTGCAATAGAAAGCACAATGCGATGCCCAAACTTTGAGAAGTAACACCAATCAATTGTCGGGATACATAATCGGCAGTAAAAAGACGAATTGGCTTGTTTAATTGCTCGTCGGTGTATATACCAGAAAATCCATCGTCATAGAGGTTTACTGTTTCTCCCCGGAAAGCGAAGGCTATGTCACGGCACATCGAAAAGAACTTTTGAATTGTGTATAAACGTTTTACCAAAAAAATGTCTTCTAAGACCTGAATTAATTCAAACATACATTTACATAGGTATAACATAAATTGAGATATTAGTTGTAGTTTTTTTTTTATAAAAATCAGTATTGAAATGAAGATGATTAATATGTACGAAATTACTTTCCATACCTTACGCGCTGCCTCATTGAATATTGGCGCTGCCATTTCCTTAGCTTCTCGAATTTGATCGATTTTTTTCCAACTCGCAGGTATTTCCAGCGATCCCAAAACGCTGATTAATGCGTTACCCTCCATTTGCAATTTTTCAAAAAGTCCATTAAAACCCATAAGTAACATTTGACCAGGTGTTAACGTCTCCTCTTGGTTAAGTTCTTGTAGATCAGCGGATCGGGACAAAAGAGCTTCAAAACGTAGCCTCAATCCATCTATTACAGATTGCATTATAATGTGTGGACTTTCCATCTCCATTATTGTAAATCTGTAGAAATTGGCTTTCGTTTATTTATATTAAATAACACATATTTATCAGTTTTATAAATCACTCAATTATAGAATTTTTTGTTTAGTTTTATTATTATTATTATTATTATTATTATTATTATTATTATTATTATTATTATTATTATTATTATTATTATTAATTATAACAAGCTTGAATAACGTTAGCATCTACTCTAATGCATATCATATTAAAGATGTAATAATTATTAATTTACGAATGGCAGAAACAGAAATCGTTATAAACCTTAAATGTAACTCCATTTGCTCTAAAATTTCTATAAGTGGCAGACCAGTTGAAGTTATGATTTCTTCAAGCTCGTTAATCATTTGTATAACTGTTGGTTCTTCTGTAATTACGGTCTTTGTTGCTTCTGGTAAAATAATTGTGTGGAAATTATAATTTAATTCCTGTAATCCCTTATGAATGGAGTCAGCGCTCTTTAGACACTTCATAACCAATGAAATTTGTGGATCATTATTAGATTTGAGATTTTCGGGTATGAGAGACATCATTTCAGAAATTTGCGAAAACATAAGCCGCATTTCATCAAGGAACCAGTCGCCATCTCTAGATGTTAAATCAACTAAGCAATCACCCGCACACTTGGCTGCTCCTTCCATCATCAAATATCTATCACAAAATTTGCAATCTTATGAAAATTCAACGATATAAATTTATTTATATATGTTCAGTGGAAAATGAATTTACTATGAAATCAAGTTGCATTTATAAATAAATATTAAAGCTTAATGTTGTAAATTCTCTTCATAAAAGAAAAAATAAAAAATTTTAGTCACACTCATTTACTTGTACCTTTCATTGTTTTTATAAATTTTATTAAAATTAATTAATGATTTCATTTAAATCCATAAACATTTATTAGTGAATCAAGATTGCTTCTAGTAATAATAACGTTAATAAGTAATAATGATATCGTCAAACTGTAAAAATATAATTAACTCACTTTTTATTGAGTGTGCACAATGTTGTGATATTAACACATTCGAGTGCTTTATCTGCACCTTTTTCTCTCCTTAAAAAGTTTGCGATCTGTGTTTTGGATTCCGCATATGCCTTTTCGATTCTAACAAGAGCTTCCGGCAGACCTTCACTGATCATCCTTTCACATGTTTTAGTAAATTTGTTGTTAGCTTCACTCAAAACAGCCTGTATCTGAAAAAAAATAATAATCATCATCATCAAGTAATAACAATATACATGGATATTAGCAAAAAAATCTTTAAAAATAATATGTGAGTTAGACTTTATTGTTACAATATATTTTTTAAGCAATTAATATGAGTAATACTTCCTTTTTTATATACAATATATTAATTCAGTATTTTTAAAAACTTAAAGAAATATAGATTTAGAACGTTTTACACTTAACATGAAATTCACATACATTAAATATATATCTTTTAACCTTGCCTGCGCGTGATAGTGCATATAACTTTTTTCAAAATATTTCTTTTATTGATAAAGCATAATCTATATCTTTACCGGAGAAAATTTATAAAACTAAAAATGAAAAATTCATTAGTTTTCTAAAACAAAAATTTTAATTAACGTATTATTTTTTTATTAAATGACTAACCAAATCGAGATATCATCCTGCTTAAATAAGGCAAAGTGCTACAAAATCAACGACTCGAGTACCTGATACGAAAAAGTGACAGTCCTCTGGACCTTGGGATTGCCAGCGGTTAGAGGTGCAAAATGGGTCTCGAGGTGTGCGAGGATCTCATGGCAGGTGTCGACAGTTCCCGTGAGCAACAACTTGCTTATCCAGCCATGGTATAGCACTGACCTGTGCTGCGTCATGCTACTCATTGGGTAAAGGCTGCATATAGCTGAGTACTGGCTCAAAAGGTCCAGGCAATTGCGCACAAGGATGAGTTGTTGGAGCGCAAGTTGAGTGAGCTCGTTCTCTGATTGCTCGCACTGGACGATCATCTGACTCTGGCCGGCGTTCTGCAGAAACTCCTTCACAAGGTCGAACACGAGATGATCCTCCTGGATATTCGAGCCCCCGGCCTCGCTGAGCCACCTCGCGAGCTGGGGACCTCGCACCGCGTTCATGGACATCTACAACATTTTCTCTCTCAGCTGGTTTTACCTCTTTCTAAAAGCGGGCGCAACTAAACAATAGTGCAAGGAAACAATATTTTCCATCTCGTGTAAGAAATGATTTTTTTGATCACTCAAAAAGTAATAAAACTAATGAAAAATTAAATATATATAACAATTTATAAGATATTCGTAATGTTTAAATGAAATGCACAAATATAAAAAGTTTATCGATACAAAAAAAGAGTTATAAAACAATTTATATTGATAAACTGCTTTTGACGATTATTATATAAGACATTAATTCATTTAAATGAGAACTGCACATGCCTTGTTGCATGCACTCAATTAGAATTGTACTTATAATTACAGTATTGAACAGGATATTAACTGTAAATAATAGAATGACATTAGATGCATATTTATGTGAACTGGAAATTTTTGCATCATTTTCAGTGTCTTCTATTTATTTATATAAAAACTTCTCGAACTATTTATTCTCAAACTAACAAAAAATAAATTTATAAAGATATTTTAATTCAAAGAATATTAAAAAGCAACATTTATAAAACATTATTTTATAATAAAATTCTATTATTAGCACTGTCGTCAACTAATTATATTCATGAATTTTTAATAAAGTTAATTTTGAAATCTTTTGAAATATTTTGAAAACACAAATCAGAATAAAAAATTGAATATAAGTTTCATAATTAACAAATAATTAACATACTTTATTAAGTATCTTATATCGTGTTCAATAACCAATCAGATTTTATGAATGACTATCGGTTGTATTGATGGAACATTATTTTTTTTTAATTTTTTCATCATTTTGATAATTTAGAATGTATTGTATTCAAATAGCATCGCGATCCTTTATCAATTCACTTGGATGAAAAAAAAACCCGGAGAAAATACGAAAAAAAGAATCAAGAAAAATAAATAAATTTTAAAAAAGAAAAAGAGAGAAAGACGGGCGGGGGGGGGGGGGGTTTAAATCAGAAATCATAGTTCGCTCACGTTGTGGGTGTTGATGTGCTTCTGGCACTCGTCCATGCGCTCCTTAAGACCAATCTTAACCTTCTCAAGCATATCTTTGGCACGTTTGAAGGTACTATAACGCTTAGCGACAGAGTAGAGGCTATGATTTCTACCCATTGCCTGGGCCTCTTTCACCAGAGCAAGCTGGCGATGACGATCCTGGAGGGACTCCTGACATTGGCGCGACGCCTCGGATGCCTCGATCCATCTACCAATAACACATAAACGATATTTCCATTGCTTTTACAATATTCATGTTGGCAATTTTGCGTAATGGCGCGTTCATTGGTTTACACCTTCATGATTCATCCTACCGCTGGATTCAGTCGTCGTCAATGTTCAACATTGCAATCTTTAAAAATATACCTCTATCTATGTTTCTTGTAAATTTAATAATCAACATTTATATTAATTGACAATGCAATATCTTTCAATGCCATTGATATTTAACGATAAATCACACAATTAATTACAAATGGCATAGTGGGAGTTAAAATGTAGACTGTTGTTTCTGCATACTGCACCTTTATACTCGCATACTGGCAAAAATGACATTAAATTTACTTTACATAGTTTATCATGCTGCAAGTAAAGACCATATGTATGATCTCGAGAAATAGGGTCGAGTAAACATTTCATTTTGCTAAGCAGAATATCATTATGTAAGAAAAAGTCGCTCATCAATGAATATTAGATCTAAACATATGCTTAATACTAATATAATAAGCTTAAAAGTATTTTCAAAAGTATATTGACTTGATAAAGGACATTTAGCTTTACGAAATCATCAATTTCAGATATATTTCGTAATAAGTTAAAAAATATATTAGAATTTTAAAAGTAAAATAAATGTATCTATTTCAATATTCTGTTTAAGCTAAAAACAAAAAAAAAAGTATTTATTATAATTGTCAAAAGAATTTTCAAATTTGAAAATTACATGATGTTATACATATCAAAAATATCAAGTACAATTTCTCTTTTATATAACGATAAATAATATACTAATGATCGATTCGAATAGTCAGATAACTAAAGTTATATTTAGAGCGTTTCAAAATATTTGTCGACATAGAAACCAAATTATTCTTTATAAACATAGGATTCATTTACTTTAATTTAAAAATATGTAATATCAATTATCAATATAAATAAATGTAAATAATTTTTTGCGTTTTTTCTTTAATTTTATATATTTCATAAAACGTTGTTTTAACTGCTTTGCTGGCAATACGAATAAATTACATAGTTTTAAAATGCTTTTGGCTCAATTATTATCTTTCTTATGATGCTGGTAATAAGCAACTGGCGATTATTACGAGATGTTTTATTAGTTAGAATAAATAAAAGATAGATAAATAAAAAAATTTCGTTTATCTTTTAAAATAATGATCTCGTTGCGTAAAATAAACCATTTATAAAGATTAGAAAGTAATATTTTTATAACAATCCCGTCTCTTATTAAAATTAATTAAAATCATTATCAAAATTCTTTTAATCTAATGATTTTAATTATTAGAAGCTGATAGCAATTTAAAAATAATATAAACATTTTTTAAATCTTCGTCTCCAATAATACGAACTTGACAACGAAATATAATCAACAATTAAATTCAATAAACACAAATCTCTTAAGTAAGATTTAATACTTTTGGCAATCATTATATTAAATTATTAAGTATTATTATTAATTATTAAAAAGGCAAATAGATGAAAATATATTAATGTACTATTTTATAATTCAAATAATAAATAATTGATTTTTACCTACATAAGTATTTTATACATTTTCTTTTAGTTGTTATAAAAATACTTTTAAATTACTCTCACAAGTAAATCATTTAATAATATATTAATATAATATAAATTGATTGTTAAAGCGATAAGAAAATAATTGTAACGTTAAGATTAATTTTAGAGTTAAAAATATTGCTTGCTAGTAATTATAATAAAATTTAATAATCGTCTAACATTATAGAATATTATATATTTTTAGAAGAATATTTTACCATATAATACAACAGTAATGATTCCAAATGCTAAAAACTATATATATACACAAAGGTATTGTGATTGATTATAATTTAATTACTCACTTAACGTTTAAATGCGCAACAAATGACAGGCTAGCGGCAATTGGAAAAAATGGAGCTCGCGACAAGCAACGAATTACCTGGTCAATTTGTGGCAAAGTGCGGGAAAACTTTTAGCGAGTTCGTCCTTATTTGCAAGCCACTCAGCCCTCATCTCGGCGATCCTCACGGCAAACATGGCAACCGTCAACTCGAGTTCGAGCTGCTTCCTCCCAACGCCCGTACATCTCGCCCTGGCTTGGCACGCGCCATAAGTCGCAATGCTGTTCTCGGCACCGGCCCTCCAATCCACCAGGGGATCATAGACAAAGGCCTCCAGTAGGGTGAGGAGAGTTTCGCGGCCGCGTCGCATTACACGCAACGTGTGCTCACAGGCCAATCGAAATATACCCTGGAAAATCAAAAAGTCGATTTTGGCATTATTTATTGAACGAGTATTAGATACAGTACTGTACTTATATTTATTGGATATTTCATTATAAGTATGGAAGATTTGCTAGCAAATCTTAGCGAAATAAATACATTTTCAGTATATAATGGTATAGTATTAGCTGAGTAACTTGTTTAACTATTTAATTTATCTGCCATGACAATGCTCTCTCCTACTTTATACTTAATGATTTGCAAGTCACAATATAACGAGTCGTTGGGTATTACTGTATAAAAATATTTAAAATAACAACAACAACAAAAATACATGAGTAACTAAATAATTTGTAATCAATCATTATATAATAAATCAATCGCTTCTCTATGTTTAATGCACAACGAAGATCGATATTATTGAATGCTTATTTATTGAATAGCTGATTGAATTTCTAACCGGAGGCAAGATGTTTAAAGCTTTTATTGATTTTTACAGATACCAGCAAAATAATTTATGTAAGAATTTCAATATCTTCTTCAATTTTCAGATAAAATGTAAACAAAAATAAAATTCTTTTCTTATGACCCAAGACTCACTGTTTTTTAGAAGTCTGTCATTATATCGATAGCCAGATTATTAAGCAAATGGTAAATTTTATTTAATATTATATTAATTTTATTTTTATTAACTTTAACATAAACATTGATTATATAATGAATAAATTAATATATTTATTCCGCTCATTATCAATTATTAACAATCACGTTTTCTCAACGTATCCATATTTAGAAAGCGTTACGTATGTAAATGTCGTATATGCATAAATAGATAAAATATTACAATTTTTTATATTATAATCAAATTAAGTTTGATTAAAATATTAATCAAATTTAAGTGGTTTATGAAAGATTGATACATTTTCGTTAAACCCTAAAATTTATTAAATAAAATATTGTTTGTCTAGTTCGTTCAATTTATTTTATGTTGAATTTACTTTAAAAATAAAATGAAAGGAGGATATATAACGTAAATTCGGGTTTATACCATATATAATATAGGGATAATCATCCTTTTGATTTATACACATCGAATATTTATTTGATGCCGCATTAAATCAATTATTTTTACGTTTACAAAATAGGACTGGTCTTTAATCCTGAAATATATTAAATTTAATATATTTTCTAATATTAATTGTCAATAAAAGTATTAAAACTTCTGGAAATATTTAAAAACTTTTTTTTTAACTAGATAATGATATAATTTCAACTTGTACTTGAAAATTTGCTCGTTCATTTTTAATTCATTTTTAATACTAATTTTCATTGTGGTTTTATTAATTTAATGTACATTATTCTTATCGAATGTATACATGAACAACATTTTAGAAAGTCAAATTTATAATAAACTTTCAATACATAAGCGCATAGTGAATTTCAAACAGTGGTTATATCCTCGCAGACTTCATTTTGTACTTCCTAATTGTTTATACTCGGGTATTATCTGAAGCATTATGCTTTCCATTAGAGTTTCAGAATTGAATTGCAATTTAATCTGGTACACATGTTAAATTCGATCATCTATAGCCTTCAAACAATGAAACCACTTCAAACTTCATCTTGCCATTAAATATTCAAACCGATAAAGCAATAATGTGAAAAAAGATTCGATATTCAACACACACACAAATGCGTTAATTTATTTATTTAACAAGTGAAGCATTATAGGATGCATTCATCAACATAAATTGCTGATGGATATTTGGTACAATTCCTAATTATTAATTAAAAACTTTTAATAAATTAAATATTCGCTGACATGCGCCACCATAGCATCACCATCGCGGAATATCATCCCCCTACCGCTCGGAAATCTGACGATTGCCTAGTTCGAGCGTTTCAGTCTCGGCGGCGACGCCAACGAAGCATCACGAGCTCGGCGATCGG